CAAGGCACGAATAATCGTGTCCACTTCTCCTAAATTGTCCATTTTTGTTTTCAAGCTGAGGGTCAATTAGGGAGAATTTACTGTACATTTAATTGTAATATCTGAGAGAATGTAAATTGTTAAAGGAAAATCCTCTGATAAATATCTAGCACGTGCTCTCCCATTGCGAGCATGGAATGCACACATAACCTCACTTTCCATATATTCCGCACGCGCTTTTACGAATTAACAAATTATCCATTTTTGTTTTCAAGCTGAGGGTCAATTAGGGAGACTTTACTGTACATTTAATTGCAATATCTGAGAGAATGTAAATTGTTAAAGGAAAATCCTCTGATAAATATCTAGCACGTGCTCTCCCATTGCGAGCATGGAATGCACACATAACCTCACTTTCCATATATTCGGCACGCGCTTTTACGTATTAATAAGTTGTCCATTTTTGTTTCCAAGCTGAGCGTCAATTAGGGAGAATTTACTCTATTTCGTATATGGATTATCTGTACATTGGAATCGCTTATCCGCTTGATTCGACATTCCAATCCGTACTGCATGCACATTCCAACGTATAAAAATGAATTACATACATTTAAATGATCTTACGTCCTTCAAGGCACGTAAATAACCACTGCCAACGAGTCTTCGTAAGTAACTTTTTAGTTGGGAACTAATGGGAACTATTTTAATGGCGATTTAATTGCACAATTCCCTTGGTACAATATGTAAATGAGGTAATTATGTTAATCCGCGCTATCTTCGTTGAATTTTATTAATAACACCACACATACCAAATTGAAGAATATCTTTGCAAAATTAAATTCAAACATTAACCCTTTGAAGTTCCATTTTCTTTTTTTATAGTTATAATGATTAGAACTTTTTCGATTGCAATCATTTCTTCGAAGAACGTGAAACTTTATATTTGTCGTGTGTTTACATCTATTTGAATGTTTAACTAATGATGACAAGGGAATAGAATTTGATTCCGATTTAAAGAAACGAAACAACATTCACACCGAACAGTTTATTACTAGAAATCTTCATCGCGATTCTGACTCGTTAAAAGCACGAGCGAGACGTTTAACCCTTTGCACTCGAAGTTTTTTTTGAGTCATATTACCAGCAACTCGAAGCCATTTTAGTGAAAAGATCATATTCACATGTAAGTTCATGATATAAGCATTAAAAGAAAAGTCATCGTTGTATGTTATTATTTTTTTAATTGTTTATGGATACAAACGTCATTTGTCACCAACAGCGAAACATCCTATAACTAATTTTTACGATTTGTTTTTGTTCTTATGTTAAAAACTGAAAATTATTTGCATTGTCTCCGTAGCGGAGCCCTCGAGTTTGAAGACAAATTTTAAATGGCTCCACTCCGGAGCCCTCGAGTGCAAAGGGTTAAGAAATCGATGCAGTAAATTCTCCCTAATTTTCCTTCAACTTCTAAACAAAAATGAGCAATTTGGGATGAGGAGACACGGTTATTCGAGCCTTGAACCTTGGTTTTATAATCGTTGACAATCGGCAAATATAAAAGTGATCCTCGAGACTCGAATAATCGTGTCTCCGCTTCCCCGAATTGTCCATTTTCGTTTACAAGCTGAAGGAAAATTAGGGAGAATTTACTGTATATCGGTTTCGACTGGAACAGTTATGAAGAACCGAAAAGATCTCATTACTTGTTGTAAGGTTGCTTTCGGTTATCGGTTCTGGCGTACATCGCTTTCGGTTTTATCCCTTCGATAAACGGTTATAACTTACTTTTCGGGCTCCGAGTTTCGGTTGCGCATTTCGGTTATATTCGCGTAATAAATTGCATCGTATTTCCTTGCAATATTAACTCTTTTAGTGCCGGGCGAAAAAAAGGTGCTTACGCGAAGATAACATGCCGAATTTTACGATTTTACTAGGATTTGGAAAAAGGCTCATAAAAACCAAACGAAAAGCAATATTTACATAATTCAAAATTCGAATAACCGTATCTCCTCATTCCAAATTGTTCATTTTTGTTTACAAGTTGAAGGAAAATTAGGGAGAAACTGTTCGGTATGAATGTTGTTTCGTTTCTTTAAATCGGAATCAAATTCTATTCTCTTGTCACCGCTAGTTAAACATTCGAATAGATGTAAACACACGACAAATATAAAGTTTCACGTTCTTCGAAGAAATGATTGCAATCGAAAAAGTTCTAATCATTATAACTATAAAAAAAGAAAATGGAACTTCAAAGGGTTAATGTTTGAATTTAATTTTGCAAAGATATTCTTCAATTTGGTATGTGTGGTGTTATTAATAAAATTCAACGAAGATAGCGCGGATTAACATAATTACCTCATTTACATATTGTACCAAAGGAATTGTGCAATTAAATCGCCATTAAAATAGTTAGGACAAAATAGAGAATAAAACAGTGACGCTAATTTTTCTCTCGTAATGAAATTAGACTATTTATAACGTATTTATTTATTTATAACGCTACAAGGTGCGGGCCGATATGTCGGCTCTGGCACTTTTCGCCAGTGCAGCAAGGGCCGATATGTCGGCCTCCGGCACTAAAAGGGCTAAAAGTATGGATTATAGAAGCCATATTTTTACCGCGAGGAAATTCAGTGTAGTTACAATGTATGCATTTCGGTTTGCAGATCTATTATAGATCGAAAATTCGTGCGGTACAACCGCATCCTTGTCAAATTTTCTATTACTGACGATATTCGACGGCGGACACCGGGCGTTTCTGTCTACCGCACAGAGCCGAAACCAAGAACCGAAAAAAAAAACAATTATCGAACCAATATAACAGGAGTGGCCGGCCAAAGCGTCGATCGTGGTCGACTGGTTGACCGCGTAACAACTATTCCTAGTCGCCCGCCTGTCTGATATTATCTACAGTGGCCCACAAAAGTGTTCAGTTCTTTAAAACGCAATAACTATTTTAAAACTGAACTAAACGGCTCGAATTTTCTTTAGATGATAGAGAAACCAGTCTACTAGACGATTACTGAAACGATTTTCTTTTTAAATTTTGCTATTACTTGGAATGACGCATAAAAAAGTTAAAAAACGAGACTTTCTCATTTTTTTCTTTTCTTTCCAAGTAATAGCAAAATTTAAAAAAAAAGATACTTTTAGTCATCGTCTAGTAGATTAGTCCTTTTATCATCTAAAAAAAGTTCAGTTTTGAAAAAGTTATCGCGGGCCACTGTATGTTCGTTTTAAATTTAAACTTATTTTTGGCTTTAAATTATTACTTTTCTTATGATCACTTAACGCACATAGGATGTTGGTATAATATAATTTAAAAAAAGCAGGTTGCACGTAGCGATCAAAAGTTTATCCTGCAATATAATATTGGTTTCGAAAAATGAGAACCGATATAAAATTAGAATCGATATTTCTTGTAACAATTATGAAACTTTTTCGATTCTCCACAACTGTTTGAAGAATCGAAACCGATGTCATGACTGTTTTCAATCTCTGACGTAGTCAGTTCGGTCCTTATCGATTACATACGTATACGATGATATTTTATTATTAATAATACCGTTAATCATTAAAATGTATTATTTAATTATATATATATATATATATATATATATATATATATATATATATTATTATGTATTATTTAACCCTTTGCACTCGAGTGGTGACTCTGAGGCACGATTAAAATGGTAACATCACGTTTCAAGATAATTCTTATATTACAAAAGTTTAGACGTAAAAACTTGTTAAAAGTCTAATTGTTGTATAAAGTCACAAGAGATTAAATTTCATACGCATAAAATGCACTTTGTCATACAAAATGGAAATACCATAAGTCGGAAAAATTAATTTAGATTTCCAGTTAAAATGGCTTCGGGTGCAAAGGGTTAATAATTAAATAATACCGGGGAGATCTCCCCGTTTTAAATTCAGTTGATTGATGACCGAATTGGGAAATGTTCCACTTCCAACTTCTAAAAATTAAAAATGCTTAATTTTATTAAGATTTGCAAGAGGTACGAATATCGGATTTCGCAATTCTTATTTAATGGAATAAAATACTTTAACTTTATGAAATTTCTGAGGTTTTTTACGCGGTCGTGAAAGTGTTAAGATATCGATAACGCGAAAAACAGAGAATAGTCGATGCAATCTTCTGTACCACTCGATTTTTATATCGCACAAACTGCCGATCTCTAAAACAAACTTAATAGAAACATCGAAACAATTATTCTACTATTCTATCACAACAAGATATATGTACCTACAAGTAATCGTTAGACTGCCGATTTTGTGCATTGAGACCAAAAAACGTATAAACGAAGCATCGAAAACCCGAGAAGAATTTTAAAACAACGTTGCGCTATTCTCCCTGCATCAACATCATCGAAAGAAGCTAAAACACCTTTCCATCGAACTTCCGTTCTGCATAATCGATGAAGCAACTCTTTCCGTTCCGCCACAAGCTCCGCAGTCTAATAATCCCATTTCTCGCGACAGGATTTTTAGAACCTCCGTCGATCGCGATAAAACGAGAAGACCCGGTCGTTTAAAACGTGTCCGGTCGTTGCGGCGTTAGAAAGCATAAAAAAGCACGATTCCAGCGAAATAATGGCGAAAAATAAGAAGAATCGAGCGGGTATCGTGGTAGTCCTCGTTGAGCAACCGTGTGTAATTACACGGCTTTCGAACGGCGCTCGAACCGCGTTCGAACCGTCGGCTAATTACAAAGTTCGGTAACGTTTGCCGGTCGCGCCCACGCGACAACAACCGCGTTAGACGATTCATCACATCCTTTTCAGAACGTCGGGTTTTATCGCGCGATATTTGTCTCTCCGTGTCTCTGCGGCGGGTTTCTCACGCGACGGTTAATACGTGCAGAAAATGATTGATCAATTACGGAGAGGAAGCGACAGGAGACGGGAGGAAGCGGGGCGGCGCGCGATCAGCGCGCGGCAGAGCGGGCACGGTGTATCGTTTCGCGGTGGCTTGGTAGCATAGACACACGTACCGTGATTCAGTAACGTGTAACTAGCGGGATTGCGATCGAGAGAACGCTGGACTTGTGCCCAGCACGCTCCAACCGGGCTGCTGTTCGGACAAGGACGGGCCGATCGGCCCGCGAGCCGGCCAGACGGAGACGCGATCACGATAAGAAGATGTAGCACGAGTACCCTCTTCGGGTACTAGAATGGAAAAAGGAGGAAGACTAGGTGGAACGAGGGAGCCGCGATCCTCTCCTCCTCCCCTTCGCCGCCCCGTCCCCATCACGCTCCGTCTCCCTTTGATCCGTCCAACCGTCTCTCCGTCGCTCCTTCGGCAGCTTGAACGAAGGAAAGGACACGACGATATCGGGTCCTTCCGTATGAGCGCACGTTCGTGAAACAGCAAGCCGAAAGGAGCAAAGAGAGAAAGAGAGGCACGTTTAAGCCGTGCATACCGTGGCACGACTAACCGAGGAGGATCAGAGGAGGTAGGAAATACGGGTTCGAACGGTAGGTGCAACGAGGACAAAGAAACGGTGACGATGGCTTGGTGTGGGCGCGTGTCTGGCAGCTGCCGCTTACAGGTGGTGTGCTTGCTTGGGAACCAACCTCTACGGACCGTTCCCACGGAAGGCCTGTCCCCCACTAGGGACCCAGGCTGCAGCCCCTCGCCCCACCCTGCCGAAGGGCCCGTGACTATATAAGCATCGGCCGCAGCCGACAGCCACCACAATCACTGTGATCGTTCACCGAGTTCGAGCAGGAGACGCGTCGGAGATACGAGTCGATACGTTTCCAGCGAATTTCAGTGAACAACATATTTCGAACAGTTTCGAGACCGCTGCGTTACGCAAAAAGGGGCCCTGGTGTGACAATCGAGGACGTCCCGGCGACAAGTGTGATTATTATTGTCGCGATAAAGTGAAAAAGTTCGTCGTTATCGGTGTGTGAAGATAACCAACCGAAGAAACCCAAGGGATTAACAAGCATGCAGATGCACGAGCAGATCATGATTGTTGACGGACAGGAGCAACCGATCTCCAGGACCTATCAGTACAGAAAGGTAAGCGTCCCTTGAATTCCGTAGCAAGATTTCCTCGACGAACCACTTGTTGCTTCGGCTATGACGACGACGAGGCCGTCGCCGCTTCTCGACGATCACCGTCGTGGTTCTCTTTTGTTTCGACGTCGAGTCGGGGTTCCCCTTTCTCTTTCCTAATTACATTCGATTCCGGGATGAACGACGTGTCGCTGTAACGGTTCCCTATTTTCAATTTCCAGGTGATGAAACCTATGCTGGAACGGAAACGCCGAGCACGCATCAACCGGTGTTTGGACGAGCTGAAGGACCTCATGGTGACAGCGCTGGCCGGTGACGGCGAGAACGTGGCCAAGCTGGAGAAGGCCGACATCCTCGAGCTGACCGTGCGTCATCTCCACAAGCTGCAACGGCAGCAACGGCTTTCCGCGAATCCGGTGATCGACGCCGACCGCTTCAGAGCCGGGTACACGCATTGCGCGAACGAAGTCAGCCGCTGCCTCGCCGCCACTCCCGGCGTCGACGTTGCTTTGGGCACAAAATTGATGACCCACTTGGGCCACAAGCTGAACGCCATGGACAAAACCGGCCCTTTGACCATCCACGTGGCCGCGCCGCAGTCCTCCCCGTCCTCGAGCAGCGATCTCAGCTCCGACGAGTACTCGATGCCTCTGACACCGGCCTCCAGCCAGCCCTCTCCCGTCCGAACGGAAATCGAGAGCATATCCCAAGGTCACCAAGGCCTCCTGCAGGTCGCTAAACCCAACGAGCCGATCTGGAGACCGTGGTAATAAGGGAGGAGCCGGAGCAGAATCGACGGGGGAGCCATCGGTAATAAAATCCTGTCGACAAAGCTTCTTGAAATAGCTGGTCGACCTGGCCGGGCCATCAACCAGCAACCATCGAGCTGGAAATCGACACCGGTGTTGCAATTTTGTCTGTGATTCGAGCGAACTAACTCGCGCGCCCTCGAACAAAGGGAGATCGTAAACGCGAAAGAAATAATCTCGGGTAGCCTCGGTCTCTCTCTCTCTCTCTCTCTCTCTCTATCTATCTCTCTCTATCTCTATCTCTCTCTCTCTCCGATCCTCGAGAAGCTGCACGAGGATTGTTTTTCTAATTACGCCTACGGGGTGTGCAAATACGGATTCGTGATCCGAAGAGGAATAGACTTAAGATTTCGTTTGCTTCGAATTTGCTCAAGACCGCCACCTCGGAGTGAAGGATCGTGGGGGTGCGGCCGGTCGACGGGAGAAATTCTTTCGCCACGGTCCGCCCGGATATTAGGAATTCGTTCGAACGAACCCCGATGACCGCCGACAGCGGTGGACAACGTGTAGGATCTCGATGTAATAAACGGTACGCTCGCGTAACGGCGCCGCGCGGCTGAAGCTTTAATCCACTCTACAGAGATGATATCTATTCTTTATTTCATACTTTTTTTTTTAATCGAGAAGTTTATTTTGCCGATTTCGGCGCGAGACCGCGTGACGAAACCGTCGTGGTTTTCCCGCGTCGACTCGCGCGCCGGTAGAGGAACGACCGACGGACGGGGAGGAACAAACCACCTTCGCTCGCGCCGAAAATGTTGTTATGTGTACATATCTCCTCGGTCGGCTGTAATCAGTTTTACACGCTTGACACGCATTCGAATGTCCGATAATATTGGCGCCTCCCGTTGGGATTGTCGACGGGAGGAGAAAACGTGACCGAGTAGAGGATCTTGTGATAGAGAAACGTGTACCTGTGATATTTACTCTAGACCTAGAGAAATGATACTAGATTTCTAATAAACATGTTTCATTGATCAATTTTTCATTGTTCTCTGTGCACCCTTTTTGTTATCGTTGCAAACCCGTTCATGAAATCCCGCCGATGCGTTCTCATCCGGTTTTTCTGTTTTATTAATAATTGGAAATTTGTTAGGTCGCTTGAATTTTTCAGTGGATGAATACTGGGTTAATGTTTACGTGGTAGGAAACTTAAAATTCGCGTGAGAATCGAGAAACTGAAAGTTGAGAATGTACTCACATTTTCACGTCCTCCGAAAATAAAGCGATACATTCCTCTCCCGCGTATCACCTTCACCTGCAACGAAATGATAGCGGTCTTAATTACGCAGAAGACGAAATAGTATCTCGGGAACTTCAGATTGTCGGAATGTTGTAGTAACTCGTGGATCGATATGATCATGCGAACAGTAATACTTGATCATACAAATTGTTTTGGTTTATTTGGAGGAAATATTTATTTGTTCACTTTTTGCTTGACTTTAATAGAAAGAGCGTTACGTGGTTCGAGTAACAACATATTATAGACTGCAGTGTAATTAAACAAAAGTATCTTAAATAGCCTGATGCAACAGTAAACGACAAACGTGTACTTTGCAAATGTTCGTTTACGTCGTTTTTCATCGTCAGCATCACGATAAAATAGAAAACGATTTGCTGACATTAATTGTAAAAAACCAAGAAAAATAACAATGCGCAAGCAGGATAGTGTATTTAACACATGAAACAATAATTATTTTCTTATTTAATTATATATATATAAAGAAGAAGAATATAATAATAGAATAATAAAAAGAAGTATAATAAATAATAGAATAATATAAAGAAGTATATCACTGAATTGTTGGTCTAGTATAATTTCCCGTTTACTAAATAATGTTCTTCATGCAATCTGAATTTCGATTCGTTTACACAGTGCGCAAAATATTTTATAAACGCACATTGTACTTCGATGCTTATGAAAGACAGCATATTTTGATTATTATCATATTTTACTTCAAAGATTTCTGATGTATTTAGATTTTTTATAAAGTGACCGAGAAAGACTAAAGTTTTGAATTGACAGATACATACATAATTACAGGCATCATCTATCAATCACAGCAATCCAATAAACAAAGAAATAATTACAAACACGGATTAAATTTGTATAACAGCGGTTTATATAAAAGAAAACCAAAGAGAAAAAATTGCAGTAATAATAATATTATAATAGTATAATAATATTGCAAATAATAATGTTAAGACAATGGATTTAAAGAACAATATGTTAAATCAGACACGAGACAACAAAACATGTACATAAACGGATCTAACCGCAAGTTATCCCAAGCCGAAAGATAAAGATCACAGTAAATATAATAACACATCTAATAAATTACGTAATGTCATCACTGTGACAGTAACTTCTATCAACTTGAAGTATACACGTACTATGCAAATACATACAATGAATTGAATGTGGATTGTATGAATTCACGCGTGAAAACTGAATGGAAACAATAATATTATTCCTACGAATTCTACAAATATTCTCCTACATCGCGGGCCATCGTATTAAATTCTTCGAATAGATCAAAATCGATACACATATTCGGAATCTATCATTTGTGTGTGTGAGTCGACATTTTCATATTAATTTAATAAAATTAACTATTTATCTATATTTAACGCTAACCGTAAAAATACGGCCTTATTTCGTCGTCAGAAAATTGATGAACATTGATGAATTGAAAACAGATGTTATATTATACATAAATAACAAACTTAAACGTAATTTTAATATTTTCTTGCGTAACCTTTTGTATTAATAACTGCTTTTAAACGCCTAAACATCGACTCATCTAAGTTTTTTTTTGTTAAACTTGGAATATTCTTCCATATTTTCTCAATATTAACTTTTGTATCTGTTTTACTGCTATATCCACGATCACTCAATTTTAATTTTAATTCCTGCCACAGGTGCTCAATGGGATTAATATCCAGCGATTGGGGGGAGAGGGGGTAATAACTTTGGAACGTATTGGAAGTAGTATTTATACCGGTGGCATTTGTAATTTTTCGGCTGAACACTACAAATATATATTTTTTTAAATATCGAGATATTTAAACTTAGCCATAGTAGTTTCAATAAATTCAATTTTTTATCAACTCCGTTGGCTGTCATACATCCCCATAACATGATCGAACCCCCGCGGTGCTTCAGTGTTGGAAGCGTGTTATTCTTGTTGAACTCCTCGTTCACTTTTTGCTAAACAATTATTCTACCATCTGAATTAAATAAGTTCATTTTAACTTCATCCGAAAAATATTATATTATTTCAAAAACCTTCGTTTCGCGGATTCCAAACGCTTGCGATGCTTCACGTTGGAAATGTAAGGTTTCTCTCTCGCTATTCTACCGCGACACCCTTTATCGCGTAGAACTCTGCGGACACACAGTTTCCGTAGAGATAGTATGTTTAATTCTTGAAGACACATCCATTGTTAATTTTGGGATCAATTTTAATTTGTCTCACTATGTACCGCCCGCCGGTTTCACTCATTATTTTTTTTTCTTTCACGCTCTACTTTATTACGAAGTGTTCCACTGTATTTATAATTATTAATAATTTTCTACATCGCAGAACGAGTCCTTCCTATTACTTGACCAATTTTATCTTAACGATTTCCCTTGACAGTACAATTTTATCGCAATTTTTCGTACAGAAATTTCGGTCTCTAATCTTTTGGAAAACATGGCGCTAACATTTACTAATAAATAGTGATAAATGACCTAGAGACAACTGAACAAATTCCAAATCGAAAAAAAGTACCTAATAAGTTTCACAAAACTCAGTGTTTTAAATACTTAATTAACTGTACGTTCAATTTTGCGACGACGAAACAAGCGCACTTTTACGTTTAGTGTTGAAATATAGATAAATAGTCCAATTTAAAAAAAAGTTTTTCAAAGAATCAACTGTCGAAACACCCAGATAAAACATATATTGTGCTTTTATTTTTGAAAATATCCGGTTTTGTTTATTTTTCCGTCAATCATCATTGCCAGCTCAAGTCCACGCTCAATTTTGTGAGTGACTGTATACGCTACGACCTATGCGAACACCATACGCTAGACAGTATCGTATCGATAAAAATTCGTTTTACGTATCATGGCGTTCTATTTAACGGATTCGTTAAGCATCCATACTTCGGGCATACGAGTGCAAAGGGTTAGGTTAGTATCGCAGTCGCATCTGATTCTTCTGCTGCTCGCTTTAATAAGAAATATCTGGCTGCACGGCCAATAATCTTTTACCGTGAATGTTCCCATGACACTCGTATCGAGCGTCTTCTATCAATGAGCACGAGTCTCTCTGCCAAGGTTAATTATCAATCCACAATTTACTCTCGAAACATTGGCGGCACACGTGCGAGCGTCGAGTAAATATAGGACGATTTCGTCGAAGCACGTTGACACTCGTCCGATTTTCGGCACACAATTCAAAACACAAGACTGCCCCGACAACAGGTAGAAGCCAGGTAGGCCTGAGGAACAGGGAAACACCTTTAGAACACGATTATACTCACTTTTCCGAGATCGAGACCGCCACTCAGGTGTAGCACGTGCTGTCATCACAGGTGCACGACCACGCTCCGCGGCCATCTTGTGGCTATATTCGGAAACCGTTGGAACTGAAATGGTTTCGTTGTCGATAAAACGGGAATTAGATGATTATTATTGTTATCGTATTTGTCAACATCGATCCTGTTCTTTTTCGTTCTCGGTTTTTGAGAAATGTACTTTAAAAAAAGGAAGTTGTATTTTTAACTTTAAACATTTTTTTTCTCCTTTAATCGTAAAAATCACGCGAATGTTCATTGCGTAATGGATTCTGTAGATTTCCCTAAATATAACGCGCATTTTTGTATAACATTACAAACGTTTAAACATGTTCGAGCAATGTTGAATGACAGCGAGACACCTCTAAGAAATTAATTTTCTTGAGCAGTTTTGAACTCATTTTGTCAATTAAGGATTCAAGGAAAAATTTAATTATATTATAAGACAGAGCTGAAATTCTTTATTTTTTAAAAGCAATATTTAAATTTGTTTGACAGTATTACTGAACATAAGCAAAATAATTCAATTGTTCACAAATTTACCTTTGTTCTGTCTCTTGCAAAGTTTTATCTTTTCGTGTAAATTGAACGTAGTGAGAAATAGAAAAGAAACTATGATAAATAGAAATAGAAATAGAAACTATGATACAAAACTACATAAATTTTTTATTTTAAATTGATTACNAGGACGAAGTCTCGGTGTATACGTACGGATCGAGGCGGATCTGCTACTGGCGGGAAGAGGAGAGCCCTCTGCTGGCGGGTCTGGAGGTAGCCGCCACATATTTAATATTTAAATTTAGTTAAACTATTTAATATACAAATTTAGTTGAACTATTTAATATATAAATTTAGTTGAACTATTTAATATACAAATTTAGTTGAACTATTTAATATATAAATTTAGTTAAACTATTTAATATGTTTAATATTTAAATTGTACTTCATTCTTATTATTATTCATTAATTAAACGAGCTACTTAGACTCTAGATTACAGAATAATGTAAAGAATAATTCAGGAATCTATGGAATAATGCATATTGTATGCGCGCTCTAAAACATTTGCGAGCATCGTTCGCAATTTAATTGTAATTTAGAGCGATGCATATCGTATGTGTTAACATTAAAGAAAAGAATTGATTTCATTCAAGTTAAAAATGTTTGGTGCATATCCTGCGGTACGAAGGCGGAAACTTCATATGCAACGTTTCTTTGGCTTCGTCGTTGACTGAAAAGAGAAACAGGAAACGGTTAAATGGGAAGAAAGGGGGATGAAAAGTTTCAAAAAGACAGAATGTTCATAAGTACAGAAAAATGGTGATAGCGTTTAGGATTCTTTTCGCGGTGCAAGGCGGAGGTTGCGCGCGGGAAGTGTTCGGTTTCGAGTCGAAACAGGGTGGAAAGGGGTAAGCACGCGTGAAATGGTGAAGAGTATCTCGAAGTTACAGTTAGCCTGATCGTCGACAGACAGAAGGCCAGAGACGAGCGGACAGAACCAGAGTCCCGAGGACGTGTGTCCCCAAAAGCCGTGGAGCTCAGCGTTGAGTGATGGCCGCTCAGTCGACCTCGTAACCGGCGCCATACATCATTCAAGATGGCTGGCTTCTCACGCGGCTCGGGGAGAGACAAGGGTGACAACCCTCCCGTCTCTGCTTGCTACTTTTGACTGGCTACGTCTACGCCTTCGCTGATAATCGTGTTACAGAGATATCAATCTTGGAGCGACGCCTCTCTCGCTCCGCTCTAAACTGCATTAACGCTAAGAATGTGCACCCCCGAAATTCGTCGAGTTACTTCGCTTTTGCTTTTTCACCGTTTCCCCGTTCGCAAATATTCCTCTATGCGCCCCCTGTCATCGATCCAGGACATTTGTTTTCACTCGAAAGACGTCATAGATCATTTCGGATCGATGTTTAATTTTATTCGACGACAAAGATGGGATTAAATTGCATTCGATGCCTCTGGGCAGATTTCATTTTCAGGATATTCGAAGAACTTCTATGCTCTGTCGATGTATTTATTGTTGTTTCATTTTTTAGAAAAATTAACTTACCAATGAGATCGTGATATACTCATCGAAATAATTATTTAACGTTGGAACCAGAGCGAGCAGTGTGAACATTCACCAGGGAACTGTATAATTTATCGGATAAAATACATCTGAATAAATAGATATTTTTCGTAATTGCTTAGGGAAATAGGCTTACAATCTCTTTAATTATAAAATAAAGGATCTGAGAACCGACATTTTGTCGGTTCTAGTGATTCTAGTGTTAAACATAGCTAGAGTAATATTTCTTTTGAATAAAGTTTATTAGCCAGTTCTGTAAATACTGTTGTTCACTGTGACGGAAAAAATTCATATAATTATTAAAAAGCAAATTGGAGAAGAAATGTTCCTAAACTGCCATCTGGCAGTACTGACCACTCACTAAACGCCCTTCCCATAGAATAGTACCTTCCCCAGAAATCTGCCTTATCAACGCTAGGTTAAATCCGAAGGAAAATTCGACTTTTTCCCTAGTTTGAGGGATTGACACTAGACGGGCCGTCAACGCGAACATTTATTAAAGAAACTGTATTTCTTTCCGATTTCTTCAATCACCGCAGAAGATGTTGACACTGGCCAAGATCTTGTATTAGATCGTTTAAACCCTTTTTGAAAGGCGAGGAAGAGAATGACAGCGACGAACGTTATAAAACGCACGAAAATTTAATTAAAGTGCCGCCCGGGGGGTGTCGTCTGTTCGAGGGTGAGAGGCACGACGTTATTAATATAATTCCGGTTCCAGCGTTCATATTTTCGTCCTGTCCAAAGGACACATCTTACATTTCATTCCGGCTTTCCTTTTCCTCCGTCGAATTTCCGCGGATATTCCACCGGCACTTGTCCCGGGGATAAATATTTCTCGTTGCATTCAGAGGTCCTCGCCTTTCAACTTTCTCGCAATATACCGTCAGTATTTGAAATTCAAATTGAACAATTCCGGGAAAAATCGAACAATTAAACGATTCGAATATTTCGAGGCGACCGAGGTAATTGTCGATGATTTATTTACCGCGATGATTTTGTCTATGATTATATTATATTATATATTATTAGATTATATTATATACCTCGACGTACCATTTTTGTAATTTACGAAGCACGCTTTACATTTGTAACAATTTCATTTAATATTATTTATTCTCAAAATTGCATTCCATAAATAAATTCGTATAAATTCGTATAAATAAATTCGTATAAATACATCATATCTGCTGGCAAAGAAGGGTAGTATGTATATACATACATACATGCATACGTATTCTTTAATGCGGATTATCGATTGTACGAATTCGGTTACCAAGACAACGATTGCACCTAAAGTTATCCGCAATATCATTAAGAAACGAAATCACGCAGTCCATCACATCCGTTCTGGTTTTTGTAGCATGTTGTACACGTTCTACTAGATTATTATATTTGTATTATTACTGCCAAGTATAGCTACCAAGTTACACACTGTTAGTGCACGATAAAACATATGGTGTTCAATGAAGAAATAAAAAAGAAAAATCTAACGCTTCACATATTTTCGATCTACGTGACAAATACTTTGATCAATCGAACTCGTACAAATTTTTGATACACTACAAATTCGAAATTAAAATATTTCCCTCCTTCTGACGTACAGTGATATAGTTTGCTGTTTCTGTCTAAGATCATTAATTAGTGTTTCATTTACATAAAATAACTGATTAACGAATTCACATCGAAAGGCTAATCCGATTAATTTGTCAGGTAAGGGTAATTAAGGGTAATCTGTTAATTGTGATATGACTGACGAAAATGATAAAAATGCACAAGCTGTAACCAGTGGAACCTCGGCTTCGAAAGAATCAATAAAATCTTCTCCTTGTTTAAAGGTACACGTTTTACATTATACATTTATAGCGTATATTTACCTTTTTATGAAGCATATATTAAATTTAATCAAGTAGTTTTAAATTTAATCATGTATATATTTTTTATAATGCACGAATATATAATAACGTTATTTTGAACTTGATTACTTTAAACTGATTACTTTATACTGATTACTTGAAACTTATACATATTTAAACAGCTTTCTAATATTTATATTTATATCTAATATATTGTATATCTATGTTATTAGCTTTTTAGATACAATCATTTCATATGGTCTATGAAATCAAGTCTGATAAAAAGAGTTTCGAAGAAAGTTCTTCATCGCGTATAATATAATTACGTGTTTATTATTTACAACTGTTACACACTCGTCACACTCGTATACAATCGTTTTTCTTTTAGCAAAAGAAGAAATAAATTCTGCAATTACATTTGTATCTTTGGCGAAATGTGCATGTTTTAAATTTAGCCTGTGCTCTTGATTTCTTGTTTGTTACCGTAATAATGTGCAATATTGTTGTGATGTAATGTTTAAATACCGGAAATTTGATCATTTTGTCGTAAAAATATTTTCTCTATCGGATAACTTAAAATCTTTTCTTTTTCTGTGGCTATTTCTTGACTTGGCGTAGATTTGTTTAAAATAAGATATCACGATTCATTAGAAAACTGTAAAAAGTACAGTGGGATCTTCAGAGAGAGAGAGTATCTACTTTTTTAAGTACTCTTTTTTAAGAAGCATGTTAGGACTAACGATTACGAATATTCTCCATATTATTTATAAAATTATCACTATACATTGTTATGTTACTATTTATTTCTAAATTTACTACTATTCCATTTCTCCGTTTAAAAGACTGTCCCTAAACAGAAATCGTCAGGTTACATGGATCTTCTACCTGCAATAGAATCTAAAAACTTACAAAGCGATAACGAAAATAATTCAAGAGAGAAGAAAAATTCTAATAATAAGGATGCCGCGGATAATCCAGGAAAGTTTACAACCGCCATAGAGGTACATATTTTCATATTTCGGTAACGCTATTCTAACGCATAGTCTGATCAATTCATGTAGAACTGCATTACAATTATTCTCCAATGCCTTTATACTAAAGCCGTGTCAATGCTATTAAATATTCATAATTAACAATATTTTAAATTTTACATAAACTCGGCTCAGATTTATAATTGTCTATGAAAATTTGTTTCGTGAAATCATATTAGTAGTAAATGTCCTGAATTTTGCAAATACCATTCAAACGTATTAACCTAAATTACGGTAATTTTTTAATAAAATACTTTCTACCAATTATTATGAAACAATTACCTCGCTTAACAACCTTTCCCTAGCATTAGTTTTAGCGTTCGATAATTCCGATTACTATGATTTAAACAAACCATAAAAATGCTTCGCGGAATGCATTGATTAAAATTCGTTAAAAATCGAGAAGTAAACTATATTTTACAAAAGTTTTCGACAAAAATTCGTCGTATTTGTTATCGCATAAACAGGACAGTTCAAATTCGAAATATGTACTCTCGTTTCGTTCGATATAAGAGCGTGCGACGTGCGAATAACAAAAAACCTCGAAACAGGACCTAAAAAAGCGAAGAATAGAAGAAGTACTGGCAAAGAAAAAACAAGAGGAAGAAGAAAGAGAAAGATTCGTTAAGGAGTCCGCCGAGAAGAAGGCGGCTGAAAGAGCAGAAATAATAAAACAAGCGAAAAGATTAATCCTTTACAGAAAACCAATGTGCAGACGGATTAATCGTGCTTTATTAGTTTCCGAGGTAATTCATATCACATGTACTACTAAACTATTAATTTGTTTCATTAGGAAGAAGAAATGAAAAATTACTGCTTTGAAATACTTTATTGATTATAATAAATTGTGTAGTGAGTACGCCTTAAATAAACCACTTGGCTGTTATCCTACAAATAATAAAATAGATATAATAGAATTTCATATAATAACAATATCAATTATATAATAATCATATATAATAGAATTTAGTATAATAATTATAATAATTATATATAATGGAATTATAATAATTATATATAATAGAATTATAATAATTATATATAATAGAATTATAATAATTATATATAATAGAATTTAATATAATAATTATAATAATTATATATAATGGAATTTAATATAATAATATCAATTTTGTTCATAAATCAATAATTTATCATTTAATTATATAATATTGTTGTAGCGCGCGCTTCCGGCGAAATTATCGTTTAAGAGAAAATGATTAAGCTTATTTCAAATACAACACGCTCATCAACCCCTTGCCATACTTTGACGAGTCTGACACGTGATGGAGATTCCTAAGATAAATATTACTCTGTTCTATTAAGTCGAAATAAAATTCTGTTCTCTTGTCATCGATATTTAAGCATTCAACTAAATGCAGTCACACGATAAATATAAATTGTCTTTTCTCTTCTTAAAAATTATTACAATCGAAAAGCTTCTAATCATTGCAACTACGAAGGGGATAGTACGGCAAGGGGTTAATAAAGCTACAAATAGGCTTCCGGTAGATAAAGCGCTAGTGCATTGTCCTCCATCGAACAGATAAGAAACCATAACCGTTTGACAGTGCTACAGAGAGTTGGATGAGCAACTGAAATTTCAAGAAACCCTTAAACGTATGGATGAGGAGGAAGAGACAAGATACGTGAACCTGATGAAAGGAGACGTGGCGAAGTACGAAGAGGAGCAACGACAAACCGCGGCTGAACAACTCGAGAAACAGAGAAAGTATGCCGGCGGATTGAAGGAGCAGTAAGTCCTTCATTGTTTGTATTGTAGTCACCGTAACGTTTGTATGGTTGAAGTTTGCCGACGACCGTAGGATCGAAGAAAACGAAAGGAACACGATCGAGAAGGAAACCGAAGAATTTGAAGCCGCGAAGCAGGATCAAATTAATATCAACAAGTATTTGCAGGATATAAAGGAGCACGAAGAACAAGAAGTCAGAATCTCAAAATTCTGTTTCTTCGTACGGGATGTCGCGAAATTGTTATCGGGACAGATTTACATTATCTTGAAACGTCGAGGTCACATATCGAACAAATTCTATTACTTACATTTTTTTATTCACAGTAAATGTAAATGTAAGCTTCGGAAAGCTGATCTTCTTAATGAGTAGAATGCGATGCAATAAATTTTTGAAATAGATTTTTGAGATTTTTGAGCTCGAGTTTTCAGTGTACTTCTAGTCCAGACTTGAATAATTTTGCGACACCCTGTACAGTAGAGCCTCGATTACCCGAATCTTCGATATCCGAATATGAAATTATTTTGCATGGAATTATTCCAATCGAAGGCGATCCAACAGAATTTAATTATTGTATAATAATAATTTAATGATTATAAATTATATTAATAATAGTATATATATGCTATTATTGATATAATCATTAAATTATTTATAATATATTTATTATAGTTTAATATATATAATTATTATTATATATATTATTTAATATATATATTACTATATATAATATATATATAATTATTATAATTATATTTATAATATATAATATATATTATTATATATTATATAACAGTAATAATTTAATTATTATATTGCGCTCAAGTAACTGTTCCATTAACCGAACGATCGCGTCTTCCTGTTCAGTTCGAATAATCGAAATTCGGCTGTATTTGCTATGAAGTGTCTGAAGAAGCTCGAACATCGTATTTATATTGTTTTATGAATCACAGATGCTGGGCAAAAAACAGAAACTGAAACAATTCTTCCGAGACGCGATCGAAGAGAAGAAACGGTTCGATCTTAAGTTGAAACAGGAGGAAGAGTTTGAAGACCGGGCGATCGAAGCCTATCAGAATGCTAGAACACGAATTAAAAAACTGCACAAGGAGGTTCAAGCAAAAAGGAGAGCGAACATTGAGATCAGAGCTAACGCGATATGTAATTATTTATGATTTTCTTTTATTTAAGCTGAAAGAACGTGTAGCTAGGCAATAGAATTTATATAATTATACTAATTGATACTAATTAGCACAAGGTTCGTGAACTACAAATACGATTGGGAATTATTATTTAAGCTATTATTTTATTATTACATAGGTTAAATTAAAATAAGATATAAATATATTAAATATTATAATATAATAATATAATAATATAATAATATAATAATATAATATTATAATATTTATTTATATATATTTATATATATATAATATTTATATAATTATTATATATAACATTATAATATTATAATATTATAATATATATATATATTTCATTATCAAATGGAAACTTGATTTGATTTATAGTAGAATATTGTTAACAATAGAAAACTGTTTTTCTTGATGATAGAATATTATTGATAAAAGAGAACAGATATTTCTGATAACATAAAAACGATTACAAAAGATAAGAAACAGAATTTCCAAGATACCGTGCTGTCCAAAACTGTCCATGACAAATTCGTTTCGTTTTTAGCAAATATGATGTGAATTCAGAACGCGATGACTTAAGCAATCAAATAACGTGGTTATAATAAGCGAAGGCTTGCGAACTAACGGAGCGTTAACAAAATGAAGATCTTAAAAATAGGCTATACATACAATTTGGTAATTTCGTATGGAAAGAGAACTCAAAATTTTATTCCTTTGACAGCGGAACAACATCGAAAGTTCATGTACTCCACGCAAGAATCGGAGGTGAAAATATTAAGGAAAGCTCTAGAGGAGCAGGAGGCAACGTACCAAGAAAGAAAGAGAAATGAGAAGGAACGCGAGGCCCGGTCTCGAAAGCAGAGACAAGATTTTCATAAAGCAACGACTGCAGCGAGATTGGAGCAGGTTGGGAAGGCCGAGCAGCTGAAAGCTTGGGAAATGATGCAAAGATTCAAAAGGGCCGAGTATAACGAGGAAGTCGAGCTCAAAGAACAAGGCGCACAATGGAAGAAAAAGATCGAGTATGGAACTGCGCTGCGAAGACAAATCGTAAGTAATTTACACCGTGAACCAGTTTACACACACGTAGAGTCTAGGTCGACAAGGTCAAGCCAGGTTTTATACACTGTACGCTATTGCACTTTTTGACTGGTGCATCACAACAACCTGAAAAATTTTATAAGATTAAAGTATTTTATTTCAAATATATATATATATATATATATATATATATATATATATTTAAGATTAAAGTATTATATTTCATATATTTTTTATATATTTATTATATATTTATTATATATAATTTATATTATTCATTTATATATTTCAAATCAATATATATATTGATTTGAAATAAAATACTTTAACCTTAGAAAAGTTTTCAGGTTGTTGGTGCGCCAAACAAAAAGTGCAATAGCGTACAGTAATTTTATTGGATTTTTATTTAATACATATATATGTATATATATCACATTATTATCATCAAATTAAAATCATTATTATGTATCATATAAAATCGATTATTATTATCAAATTAAAATTGATTAGTTGAACTGTGCGAGATCAATTACTTTATAATAATGATCTAACGTAAAAATAAATTTTTTTTCCAATCTGAGAAAATAATTCTGTCTCCCACGTATGGGTGACGCGACAGACAAAGTGTTCAACAATGTACTTTGTAGATCCCTGTGTACTTCGATTGCATGTAGCTCAATTTTGCGACGATTTTCATAAATGTTTAGCAGGCATGTAAATAAGGAAGTTAAAAAACGCTATGTTCCTATTTTCTTGTCGCTTCAATCAATTGCAATTTATGCAAACATCTTTTTAGTCATTGTCTAATGTAGTGTACTAATCCTTGTAGCATCTCCAAACAATTTAAATAATTTCGTTCAATTAAATAGACTGTCGAATTCAATTAAATAGAAATTATTTCGTTTTACATGACGTTTTAAAATATGTCCATGACTCACTGTTGTGATAGTTGGGAATGGAGATAGTAACTACACAAGGTGTCCTAAAAATCACTCGTAATCAGGAAATGAGGTCATTCGAAGTAACTTTTGTCTTAGCACAAATGCAATCCGCGGCTTCGTTTACGAGTTATTAACGAAAATCACTGACCAATGAGAGGCGAGCTCGACTGGTGCGAGGAACTGGACCCGCCTTGCGCCAGCCGAGCTCGCCTCTCATTGGTCAGTGATTTTCGTTAATAACTCGTAAACGAAGCCGCGGATTGCATTTTCGCCAAGGAAAAGATTGTTTAAAATGACCTCGGAAACCTCTAATTTTTCGATTGCGAGTGGCTTTTGCGACATCCTGTATTTCGCGCGCGTTTCTAGAGCCAGCAGGAAGCGCAACGAGAACAAGACAAGCTTCTAGAAGAGAAGGCAACGAGCATGAGCGAAGTCGTCGAAAAAGAAAATCAAAGAGTACTTGATTATGCGGAGGAAGTTATCAACGAATCCAGGAACGTGCGGCCACTCTATCCAATCCTCAAAGCCGTAGAGGTATGCTAAAAGCAATCAATGTAATTAATATAACGAAACTACTTGAACACCGGAACTTTTCACGTACCTCTTACTCTTTCCGAACTTCTTACACGCTACACGATCGAAAGTATCGAAGAATTCTGAATATTTTTATTTACATATTTATGTTTGCGTTGCCTGGCGTCTTCATTTTTAGGAATGTAAGCGGGAAATGTGTATGGTACCGTTAAGAAAAAAAGAAGAAACGGCAATAGCAACGACACCCAAGAGAAGACAACGTCGCCGTGTTTGTACGAAGTTCGTTCCCGAAGATAAAATTTGTTATTTATAAAAAACCGGAAAACGGTAGAGAAAGCGTTTCAAGATTCCTCATATATTTACAACAAGCATCAGAGTGCATCCTTCGTGCATCAGAGTTTGATTAACACGTTCCGTGCCACGTGTACCATCGATGGTACACGCTTGCATGTTTACTTAGTGAACTGAACAAATTGTTTACAAGAAATTTAGAACCGAAGAATCAATTTCCACCGCAAGAATGGGCGTTGATAAGTTTTTGTTACGTTGTTATGTGTACGAGAATTAATAATATTGCACGTAATACATCAAGTTTTAGTAAAATATCAAAGTGTGAAGATTCGAGTAAAAAAAGCTCGGCACGGAACGTGTTAAGGAGAAATTATCGTCGAAGTTTTCATGGAAGTAGAGAAATATTAGCGTCCGACATGCATACTCTCTGATAATTGCATTTTGCAGTAAATTCTGTTCGATATCTCAAAGAACTTGTATCGATTAGCTTATATTTACTTGATAATATGCGAGGCACAGTGTTACCTTTTCGAAGGATATAGGAGCAAGACGGTACTATAGTACACATATTACGACACGGTGTGAAATCGTAACCAAGAGAAGTCGACTTCCGTATCGATATTGCGGTTTCCGGTCAACGGTGGTTGTTGAGAGAAGAATCGGCAGATCGACGATAAACGTCGACGGAACTAAACGCGCAACATGCTCATTCGATAAATTTATATTAATTTTTTGTTACGGATAGAATAATAGAACTGGCCTTTTGATGCTCAAAAACCAAAAATATGCTTATAATTATTTAGTTTGTACAAAAATAAGTTTTGAGATAAGTTTCGAGACTTTGGATCATGGATTGACCACTGCCAATATTAATCGATTTATCAGATACAATCTCAAGCACATTACGACTACATACAGTAACTCACAAAAGTGTTCGTACAGCTTTTAAAAAGCAATGTTGAATTTTTTTTTTATGATAGGAGGACTAGTTTACTAGTCATTCTTCACTTCATCCTTAAAGAATCCATTTGTAGAACAATTTGCCGTTAAAATATACGTTACGGACGTAAACTTTTACGAGAAACAACAACTTTTCACAGTTTACTAAATCGCAGAGTTTACACGTTTATAGTGTCTACGAACGTAGGTAGAAAATATTGTAAAATAAAGACTCAAAAATGAACGAACTTCCTATTTCTTTCGTCAATCAATCCATTCAAACTTAACATTTCTATCGATACTATTACACAAACAACAAAATCGTACCTGCAAAATTAAACATTATTTTCACGTATTTATAGAGTTTGATTTTAATTTAATTCATTAATTACTTGAACATTATTTTACCTGCAAAGTGATCCTTAAAAGTACCCAAGTAATTTAATATCCAAATATTACTGCCTTTAAATATGATTTTTATTGGAAAGTCATAGCAACATTTTCGCAACGAGATTTTCGAGAAGAAAGTTTCATATCGCGTTGCATTGCATCGGTCGATAGTACATCGATTCCATGTTGAAAATGTGTTTCTTCATCTCGAATCGATATGCAACCGTTACAGCGTGAAATGGACAGCTAATGTATTAGCTCGTTTGTAAGTTAGGTTAACCAACTCCCAGTATGTAATGAAAATTATGACCGATCGCTGAGTTAATCGAAACCAACTTTCAGGAAACTCATGCGCCCGCTCAAACTAAGCAGACATGAGTGAACCGGAGAAGAAGAAGCCGCTGCCACCGGCATTCACATTCCTAAATGCAGGACTTTCTGGGTACTTGACAGAGAATTTTAATAAATATTTTACTATTTTACACTTTTTTAATAACACTGTCCAACGTCTATGCTGTGCTCCTCTGATTAACGATTCTTGCACAGTTTGAAACGTTCGATGCAATTATTATTTATTTATTTATATTATCCTAATTATTATCCTAATTATTATCATAATCCTTATTATTAATCCTAATAAATTATATTATTTATTATTATATCGATACCTATTATTTCCATCGTCATCAGTCTCCGAGAAACGAAATGTTCAGAAAAAAGCAAAATTTTCAACGTTATTGACCTTGTTGTTTACCATATGCTATGAGAAATATATTTTTAATGATGCTGTGCTATACATTGTAATTTCTTAGAATGTTGGCAACCTGCTTCGTGCATCCCATGGATGTAGTCAAAAATCGAATGCAAGTGCAAAAAGAAAAAGCGTCGATCGGTTCTGTGATAGGCGATATAGTGAAAAATGAAGGCATTTTGAAATTCTATTCTGGACTGAGTGCTGGTCTTGTGCGGCAGGCGACTTATACTACTGTGAGGCTTGGTATTTATAATCAGCTGCAAGAATATTGGAGGTAAATTGTAAATCGAATTTACTACTTTTATTCTTATGAAATTCTATTGGAATTGGATTCTATTTTATATTATATTTTATATTGGAATATATATGTATATATATTTTTTATTCTATATATATATTTATTATATTATTATATAATAAATAAAATTAGTATTATTATTGTATTTATTATATATTATATATTATTGTATATATATATTTATTATATTATTATTCTATATATATTTTTATATATATATATATATATATTTTATATTCTATTTTATATTGGAATTCTATTGGATTAGCAACCAAGTTCCCGCCGTTTTCCTAAATTTTTTGAAACTTTATTTTTTAATAAAAATTAATAACTAATTAATCAATAATGTATTCTTCCTTATTGTTTACATCTTCTTCCCAACGTTCAACAAGATTTTCAATACCTCGTTGGTAGGGATCACCCGGTTTCGTCTCGAAAATTTCATCCAATCAAGCTCGTTGATTTTTGTTGTTGTCACTTAAAGCATGCAGAACCCATGCTCCACACTTTTGAACCTTTCCCATTGAGTGAAGATGCTTCTGTATAGCAGCGTGGGAGCATTCCATTTTCTCTGCCAGTTCTCTTGTCGTTCGACGCGTATTTTCGTGCAAAAGTTAGTGTTTAATCGCTCTTCGTCGAACTCAACTGGACAGCCAGAACGAGGTGCGTCTTTGAGGTGAAAATTTCCATTTTTGAACTTGGCATACCAATCACGAGCGATTCTTGCAGCTATGGGACCCTCTCCATAGACAGCACAAATGTCGCGAGCAGCTTTTGCGGTCTTAGAACCTTGATTAAAAGCGAAACGAAGGAGGTGACGAAAATGCACATTTTTCACAACTTGACTTTCCATTTTAATGATCTGAAAATCAACATAAATTAAATTGAACAAAAAAGAAACATAGATTCCGGTAGAACAAAACATCCTCTTTCGAATGTCAAAAACGTTTAATGACATGCGGAATGTGAAAAAATGAAAGAAAAAACGGCGGGAACTTTAATGCACACGGTGAACAAAATAACTCGAGCACTTCGAGCATTCCAGTTGTTTTTAATAATCTGGATGTTACGTTAATTTCCATTTACAAACTGTTAGACAGAGTCATACTGGCAAACCTAATTTCGGTACGTTGGCACTGATGGCTGGCATAGCAGGGTCCATGGGGGCTTTTGTTGGTACACCGGCGGAAGTGGCGCTCGTAAGAATGGCGACTGACGGCAGATTGCCAAAAGGTTCTTACATTGTCTCTCTCAATTATATGCAATCACCGTTACACAAGTATTCCGTAATAAAAAAATATATATATAATATATAATAAATATAATATAATAAAAATAAATAAATTGTGTGTATTTAAATAAAATATATATTATTTAAATATCGTAATAAATATAATAATAATATATATATATTATTTAAATACACACAATTTATTTATTTTTATTATATTATATTTATTATTATATTTATTATATATATTATTTAAATACACACAATTTATTTATTTTTATTCGTTACATCCCTCTTTTCGTGTTAGGAACTTCTAATATCCAAATATTTCCATGAAACAACTTTT